TTATTAAAACAATTTTACACACTCGCCATTTTGGAAAAAACTAATTTATAGCTTAATTAATAAATAGTTTACTACAAAATTTGTATGAACTGTTCACAAAAATATAGATATCTTTCAGGTTTTTTCAGTGTGGTCTTGTAACAAGTGAATTCAACAAAATTCGGACAATTCTTTGATATTCATATACAAATTAAAAGTTTTTCTCCATTTAACAAAAAGAAATGTGTTAAAAATATTAATCAAATAAAAACTTTGTTGGCGCAACAACTGTTCGATGTTGGAAGAACCGAAAATCGTGATCTGTACCTATAAAGAGCATAAGTAAATAGAGAAATGTTTTGTTTATGTGGGGTGACCTAGGATGATTGGGACAAACAGAAGCAACCCATAATATTTATTAGTTATTACTGGTAGATGAGTCACAAAAGAACCATTGCTAGAGACACCGTGGACTGGACAGCGATACAATCTTTCTCGTCCTCCTCTCAATCATTCATCTGCAAACTCAATGTTCATTCTGACGCCAATGACCGCGGGTCTGTGTCCTCCAAAGCTCTCGTCGTGATGGCTCAGGGGATAGAGCTGTCGCCTTCCAATCAGGTGGATCCCCCGCGAAGCCTGGTCGATACGTATTCTGCATCCGGTTTGCCCCAGTGCTGACGTTAAACATCCTCAATGGTTGACGGATCATGGTTAAGAGCCCCTTCGCCGTCCGGCTACCCGAAGGAGGGTTTCGTTGTTAAAGCACATGCGGGCGAGTTCCATCAAAAAGTCCTTCACGAAGGCAAATTTCTCCCAATACTCGATCCAGGAGTTCCCTTGTCTTCTGGATTGGGTTTAAAATGACAAGGCTACGGAGATGAATATTAGCAGTCGTAAACCCAAACATTTAGGTCGGCTGTTCAACGACGGTTATAAAATGCTGCTGTGAAGAACACCACCTAGCAGCGAACAAAAACGTCTATGATCATGGGTTGCTATGCAAATCCTTGTGATGTCCTCTACTTTGCCTTTAAGTTTGTCACAATAATCCTAGAACACCCCCGGTATATTCTACTCAATGCATCTATATTAAATACACCAATAAACGAAGCAATATTTTGTTGAATTGACAACAAGTATAATAAAACTTCTCAAATAAGCTCTGAAGTACTTTTATTTCTTTAACATTATTCTTCTTTATTTCATATAACTCTTAAAAACTTGGAATTCGAATTTAGAAGTACAGTGCACAATTATTTATGCATTTTCTAAAGTTATCAACAAAAAAAATGGCAGCATAAATCATCCGCCAAAACTTAAAAATAAATGAATTAGGTGATAAGTATAGTTACTAAGGACAGGGATCGCTTGAGTATTTGAATAAGTATTCTAAACATTTACCTTTATTCATCCGAAGCTTTTTTTATTTTATTCATAATGCTCTTTAAATTAAAAAATATTTTATAACTACCTAAAATGAATTCATTACCTACTTCTAATAAAAATCGCGTGTTGAAAAATAGAATAAAACTCTAGAGCAAAATTAGGACATTTTTTGCTACTACCCATTGATCAGTTCTAGCATTTTTAACAATGGCCATTCTTTAAAACACGTGACCCCTTTTACAAATATTAAACGATTACTTAATTTCACTCTTGATTATATGAAAGGCATTTGATTTTCTCAAAATATAATAAACATTACAAGTTCCAAAATGAAGAAAAATGTAAAGAACGAGTTGTGAAATTAAATAGTTTTCTGAAAATTCGTAATTATTCCGTGTTTATCAGGAGAAGAAAATAAATCGACGGTTATAATTTTGAAATAAAAACAATTTTATACAGAAGATCAGTTATAAATGGAAAATATTTAAATGTATGTAGTTTTATGGTTCATAAAAATTCATCTAAAATATTCATTACGTTGTTTCGTAATTTTTTTTATGTTGACAGCAATATTTATAACACTACATTCATTTCGAAGTACAGATCACACAATTACTAATTAAGCAGTACAAAATTAGATTACTTATTTTTTTCTTTCGGTGGTGCTAATGTAGTTGTGCCGAATATATATTATATTTGAATTAGATTACTTTTTTTTTTCTTTTGGTGGTGTTATTGTAGTTGTGCCGAATATATATTATATTTGAAAAAATAATTTATAAAAACTGGCAAGAAAATTCATAAACAATTGCATATATTTAAACATATCACAAGTTATGCAACATAATATTTGATTAATCATAGATAACTAAACATTCGATCAATAGTTCACAGAGTAATTATCTTTACTCTCTGTCAATAAAATACCAATTTTTTAAAGCTTTCCCATTTCGCCCTTTTTTACTGCAAGGTTTTCAGGAAAAGGACAGAGAGTTGGAAATCTATATTTCCTAAAAATATCATTTCAAGTTAATAAAGGAAATTTCATGCGTAGTCTATGAGTTGAATGATTGGTTACAGCCCTTTATGAAGGGTTTATATAAAATTGAAGAAAAAAGTTAATTTGTTCAAAATAATAGCATAAAAACTGAGTATTCCTTAAAAAACATATATTTCATCGATCTGAAAGCTTCTTTTCTAAATTGCTATAATCAAAATAGTTTTAAAAAAATTTATCTAACAAATAAATGACATTTTGAGTTATTTATAGAAATAATTAATGATTTTTTGCAATAATATAGATAATGAAACATATACCACAGATAACAAGGGGTTCAGAACAAGATAAGATTTTCCTAATGCATTAGCCATGATTTATTTAACTCTAGATAACAATAATTATTCTGTAATTAATTATTCTTTTCGTAGATTACAAACGCGTTCATTTATAATATCTGCGTTATTAACGTAATAGAAATAAAAGCAACTTAATGAGCTTAAAATATATAGAGAATTGATGAAAATAAAACGCTGCAGTAACATCACAAAATTATCTTACATGACAGTTCATTTTGAACATTTCATAAACAATTGAAAGCTATTATTAGTAAACAATTCACTATTTCATAAACTTATGATCCTATTATTAAAAAAAATTTTGTTTACACAATTTTTATTTCATAAGATACAATTTAATATTCAAATACAAATGGACACATTTTTAAATATTTTAAGGGGCCATTCGAATATTACGGGGGTAAAATTTCAGAGTGCTTTCAGGGGGAATCTCTCTTAAAGATATTCAACAGATAAATTGTATAAAATCGCAACTCTTTTTTTATGCTAAAGTTGTCATTTGAATTTAATCTTAAAATTAGATAACTACAGTAAGGAAAAAAGACCATGACTATTGTTATGCAACATTGGATTTGTGATTTTCTTGTTTCTGATGACGACAAGTCCAAAATTGCCAAAATATGCTTACGCAATATTTGAACGGTCTCTTAACGCACAAATCTACAATAAAATTCTTAAAACAATTGTCATTTAAATACGTTTTTTTTTAAATTGTCTATCATCGAAAAAGTTTACATTCACTAAAATCACATTGTTAATGAAGAAAATATAGTTTACTGCTGAAGCTATGAAGATTTAAAACCATTTCAGAAAAATAGGCAAAAATTCTTAATTACCGACCCTAAATATATATTTTGTTAAATTTTCGTTTCTGTAAAATTCAATCAATTCAGTTTGTAAGAAATCTTCCATCTAATTCAGTGATTCTCAACCACGACACTTTTGTGTGCCGCCAAATATTAGAAATGTTAGACAGTAAATAACAATCTTAAAATGAAATGGAAGCGTTTAAATTGCATATGACACACAATTTTAAAAAATGCTGTAAGAGCTAATCATTAAAGTAAGCTATGCAATTAATAAACAAATTAACAAAGGATAACTAAAAAAACAAATATATAAAAAACAAATTAACAAAGGATAACTAACAAAAATTAAGCTAACAATTAATAATTAGCAAAAAAACTAGTTAACAAGAAATCACAAAAAAATAACAGTTAATGTAAAAAAAACTAACAGTTAATAACTATAGAAAACAAGCTAACAATTAATAACTAGCAAAAAAATAAATAACTGTTACTAACTAATAAAAAATGGGTCGAAAGAAATAATTAATCCCTTAATAAATGTGCTTTTGTAGTACATATTATTTTATTTCGCATTCAAAATTATTGTCACAAACTATTTAACACAATGTATTATAGGTAATTAAACAACTTTTAATCGAATTTTTTTCATTGTGTGCCGTCAAATTTCTAAATCGTTAAAAGTGTGCCACAACAAAAAAGAGGTTGAGAATCACTGATTAATTACTTGATACAAATATTTATTGTGAAGCAAAAAGTAATTAAATAAACATATCTGCGTTTTAAAATTGAAAATATATATATATAATATATCTGTTATTCGATAATATAATATCTAATAAATAGTAAATTAGTAAATCTAGTAGCATGCGTAATTTAGATAGTAAATAGACAGTAAATCTTAAAGTATACGCATTTCATAATCATAAATTGGAAAACTTTTAACTTTATTTTATAACTTTTATTTAGTTATTATCAACTTTTATGTCAGTTCAAAAATATTAATCTTTTTTGCCATCACGAAATTTTTTAACAGTGCAAATATTTATAATCTAAAGTAAAGTTTCAAAAATATAACTTTAAGAAAAAATAAATGTAAGAAAAAAACTATAATGAAGTATATTTCGTACCCATCGGAAACAAAAAATATTGTAGACAATTTAAAGTTCAAAATTCATAGTTAAATTCATAGGGTAGCATAAATTTTGTATAATATTAATATATATTAATTATAAAATATCATTATCGTCATTATAAAAATGCTAAATAGCATTTTAGATGATACGTAATACTTTGCATGAAATTTCTTTTACTTTGCATAGTCAATAGTATTTTTTCTTCATTTTTGGTAGCTATGTTTTAAGTAGGCTTATGTTTAAATTTAACTCCACGTTGTTTGTAATTAGTGTACTTGTTAAAGCTAAAGGTACGTCAGATTTTGTTTCGGATCAATATGCCTATTCTTTTGACTTCATAGATTATGAACTCTTAAGGGTTTTTCATACGAAACACCAACAATAATGGAAACACCATTTCTGAAGATTTGGCGACGATTCTTCACATGGCGACGATTCTTCATTTGGCGACCTACAAGGTTAATTTTTCGATAAATAGAAAAGCTGCTGATTTATCGTAAATAGCAGATATATTTTGATGAATATGAATAAAAAAAGAAAAATTTAAATAATTTAACCACTTCCAAAAAGCTACAAGTTCACAGTTTAAAATAAATCTTTATCGAAATTTTTGTTTAACATTTAGCGGACGGTCCACCTTTAAAGAAGCCTATTTGTAAAATTCGATGTTTTACATATAATTATCTCACAAAAGCATTATTTTAAACATTCATTCTATGAAAGGAGGGAAAATACATTTTTGTACATTGGTTTGGTTACTTGGCATCTCTCTAAACAAAGTTTTATTGCTTCAAAAATAAACTGAGTTGGCACAACTGGAAGCACTAATTACAGCTGCCTTCGATACTTCTTAATCCTAAAAGAGAGAAATTACAATTAGTACATCTAACACAAGCAATTTGTAATTTAATGTATATTACAATTAGTATTTAGACATCTAACACAAGCAATTTGTAATTTAATGTATATTATAATTACTACTTAGGCATCTAACACAAGCAATTCATAATTTAATGTATATTACAATTAGTACTTAGGCATCTAACACAAGCAATTTATAATTTAATGTATATTACAATTAGAGCTTAGGCATCGAACACAAGCAATTTGTAATTTAATGTATATTACAATTAATACTTAGGCATCTAACACAAGCAATTTGAAAATTTAATGTATATTAGGTAAACCTGTGAAGTTTCACAGGTCTGACACTCAACTCTGTGTTTTCTCTTTACATATTATACACATCATATCAACCGCTTCGCTTACCAAGTATCTTGAGGAAAAAAAAGTGGAAAAAATCAACATATTTTTTTATTTCATTAATAAATACAAGGAACTAAAACAAAATATAATACACGAGCTCTAAGTTGATATAAATACAAATAGGAAGTATATAAAAAAATCTCCCGAATTAAAACCCATTACATGTATGTTTAAATATAAAAGTGTTGCCTATATACTCGAGCAAATCATGTCATTATTAAAACAACTAAATTGCGTCGAATAATTTGATCTAATTATTACAACATACTAATATAATGCTTTATATAAGAATATTCCATATTTATATAATATATCGTCTGATTTAACCAATTTTCGAATTTATATATTATATCGTCTCATTTAACCCATTGATACACGAACGTAAACAAGTGCAAACCGCGTAATAACAATAAAGCTGTATTAGAATCGCCTGATAATTAAGATTTTACACAAAATCTTAGAGTGCGTCTAACAATTTATAATCACTGTATAATTAATTCTGAATTGGGTTGTGTTGAGTGTTACCCGGCGCTGGATACCCGGCAAAATGAGGCCGGATTCCCGGAAACATCTTAGAAGAAATTACAATCACAGATTTAAGTGTTTACAGCCGCTTTCAACGCCGGCGGTCCTTTTGAAAGGAAAGCATTTATTCCATTTGTTTTCATTGCTTGATGTCTGTTTTAAAAGAGTTTGCCAGATGGTGAACACCCCCCTCCCTCCCTCTTAAGAACGTGTCACTTAACAGACATCACCTGCTCTCTTCTGCAATCTCTCTGGATGGATTTTGTTAGAACTTATTTTGCTCCCGATGTTCTATTTTAACAATCTATACCAGAAATAGAATGCTTTATTTTTCTCCCTAGTATACGCAGAGGGTGGTAAATATATTTTGACTCCTAGGTTTATAATATACAGTCGGACCTCTATTTAACGAATTCGCTAAATTATATGAAAAATTCGTTAAAATAGAAAATCACCTTTTTGAAATACTTATACAACACAAAACAGGTTTTAAATTCATGAACCCAAGATGTAATTAAAATAGCAATTCATATACCTTTATCTTGTTAACTAATATCTACTATTTATTTTTATGAATCCTAACCCTAAAAGAAATCTGCATGAAAAGCAAGAATAGAGCAAAACATTATCCAGTGTTACACTATCATGCTACATACATAACAACCATAACAAAAACTAAATTTATATATAATATTATAGTTGCGTTTATTATAAAAGCAATTTTACCACGTGCGTTCTTAAGTTTAATAAACTAGCGGCAAAATCCGTAAATTTTTTCGTTTGAAATGCAAACAAAAAGGGAAAGGGATTTTACTGCTTTCTCTAAAAGTTGCTTCGAAAATCAATTTCCCCGTAACATGCGTTAACAAGTTTGAAATGATCCGAAATATTTTTGGGAAATAGAGAAAGTGGATCTGAAAGAAAAGTTCGTTAAATAGAAAATTAACTTCGCTATTTGGGAGTTTTTTTTATTCCAAAATGTTCTTGGTTCCTCGAGAGAAAAAAAATCGCAAAATAGAGAAATTCGCAAAATGGATGTTCGTTGAATAGAAGTCCCAGTGTACTTTGAGATTTAAAACAGTAAGGATATTATAGAATTTTTGGAGACATAAATAAGTAGGGTTAGTTCGGACCTTAAAGACATTTTTAACAAGGCAAGTCAATTGCCTGGTATTTGCATAAATCCTGTTATTTAAAAGACTAAGGTTATCTTTGTATCTTGCAATTATAACATATTTTCATGTTGTTTGAATTTCATTAGATTATTTTAACAGTTCTTTATATACAGTCCCTGGCCAAATTATTAGACACACTGTAAGATTCCATGTAAAATATTAATCATCAGGTATTAGAATATATTAGACATACAGGTATTAGAATATAATTAAGTTTTGCTACACTCATTTCCATAAAATATTGTAAAATTAGTTATTCTTAACAGATTTAGTTCATTTAACTTTTTTTAATACCAATTGTTGCCTTTTAGTTTTTGTTCATTTAATAATGACATATTAAATAGCTTTAAAGTTAATACCATTATTTAATCCATCCACGTTGAAATTTTAAATTGTTTAAAAAAATAATTTTTTTTCTTCCGAAAAAGATTTTTTTTTTCTGTTCCTTCACTTGGGATAAAAGAAACCAATTTCTTAGAGAGTTTTTTTTCCCTCCGATGTAGAAACTTGCAGTCATAATCAGCATAAATAAAGAATACGAAATATGTTTGTCGAAAATATTTCCTGCTCTGTTATATTTGAGCATAAAATGATTACAGAGCCCTAATATATATGTAACGAAATTGTAATTTAAATAATAGAAGTTTATAATCAATCATATTTTAAAAAGATAAATAAAAGTATCATTTTATTTTTGAACTCATCTCCGAAATAAAATAAAAAAAGCACATTTTACTGTTTAAAAAACAAAACTATTGTTGGAATTTTCAATGAAATAAAATTTTAAAAACATTTATCTAAAATTATAAATTCTCATAAAACTTCATAAGATTAACAATTTGCTGAATCAGAGGGTAAAAGTTTCTTTCCTGTAGAATGACCGCTAAGAATGTAAAGCAAACATTTCAGGGGCAAAACTTTCCCTTTCATAAAATGTATCAGCCTTAGGCTTAGTGCTGCCATCTGGTGACGATTTTATAATTTATTCTATTATTTTGAATACTACTTTGAGAATAGTAAGAGTTTTTCAACTCATTCCAAGAACGATGAGGTATACTTTTGATTCATTAAAAGTAAAATACGCTAAGCCACAAGCAATCTTATTCCTTTTCTATTTGCAGAATTTTAAATTCAGAGTTTAACACGTTTTTTTGACCTAAATAAAACTTTACTTTTTGATAATATGACTAAAAAAGTATTTAAAACATACCAAAATATTCAAAATATGCAGAATCTTATTCTTTTTCTAATTACAGAATTTTAAACTTAGTGTTTAAAGCATTTTTTTTGACCTAAATAAAATTTCACTTCTTGATAATATGACTAAAAAAAAGTATTCAAAATATAGCAAAATATTCAAAATTATTATTAGTCACATCCAAACAAAAAAGGAATGCTAAAACGGAGTTACTACATATTATTAATTCTGAATTTAACTTTCAGTATACATTCAGTATCAATATTTAATAAATATATTTCGTTTCACACAAATTATTAATGAAACAATTTTAAAGTAATCTTCCAACTTTGCTTTTAAGCTCAAAAGACAAAATAGTAGACTATATAACTGTAACAAAATTTTCCTAACATTTCTTAAATCTTATAACATTTTTAGAAGAATAAAGTAAATTTACAGATCAAATTTTCAACGGTAAATTGTATTTCGCCTGCTTAGAGAATTCAGATTCATGAAGTTTCAACATTCTAACAATTCATCGCACTCCACTGAGTTCCATAATTTTTTATTCTGCTTTAAATATTTAAGTAACAACCTACATTGATAATTCTTAAAATTCACAATAATTCTGGGACTATGTTACCGTGAATGACCAAGAGAATGTCGACTTTCACCGGTGAATGTCAACAATCACATAGTCGCTTTGGTGAATGTCCGATATATTTGTTATATTCGATTTGATATTAATTTACTCGTTGATATTATTATATTTATTCGATATTTNGCGCATCCAGGGGGGGGGGGGGTCATAGGGGTCATGCCCCCCCCCTGAAATGAAAAAAAAAAAATTGAAGAAAAAAAATGAAAATAATAATTTTTTTAATAGTTTACGAAAGAAATAAAATATTTAAAAAATTATTTAAGGGGGCATATATATCTAGGTAGGTCGGAAAAATCGATTTTCGAAATCGAATCGAAAAATCTATTGTTCATTATGAGAAAATTAAATAAGAAGACTAGCATTAAATCCCCCCTTTTTTTCAAAAAAATTTTTAAAAAAGATTTTTTTTTATTAAAAAAAAGTTTATTGTGGTGGGGGGGATTCGAATCTATGACCCCCCCCCCAGGAAAAATTTCTGGATCCGCTCCTGATTAGGAGAAACATCAGTGTTCGGAGTAATGGTTAAATGCATACTGCGCAGTGGCACTGAACCTTAAAAAAACGTTGATGTAGGGCATACCGGGCAACAGGCACTGAACCTTAAAAAAACGTTGATGTAGGGCATACCGGTCAGTGGCACTTAACTAGACCTAGTTTATATTTCGGACATTTACCAAAGCGACTATGTGATTGTCAACAACCACCCGTTTCGATCAATAACATACGCATCACTAAACTGTCATCATTAGTGAATTCACTTTTTAGAAAAAGCTAGTACTGACCTCATCGAATTTATAGTTATGTGACAAAGGATTGGGAGAATTGAGATAAAATGAAATAAGAATTGGAAGAATTGAGATAAAATGAAAAAAGAATTGGAAGAATTGAGAAAAAAATGAAATAAGAATTGGAAGAAATGAGAAAAAAATGAAATAAGAATTGGAAGAATTGAGAAAGAATGAAATAAGAATTGGAAGAATTGAGATAAAATGAAATAAGAAATGGAAGAATTGAGATAAAATGAAATAAGAATTGGAAGGACTGAGATAAGT